GCATCTCACATTCATCAAACAACCGCCTTTATAATGATGGGTCTATCAATGCATAGATGAGATAAAAACTTGGGACATCAAGCCAGGACTAAACTGCTTACAGTAAAAGTTCCCAAAATTTGAATAAGCGAAAACATTTAGCTTTTCCTAATGTCTTTAGAAAATATAAATTAAAAACGGAGAATTACCAAAGGTAATTAAGATTTGTATATTTTGAAAACTGAGAAAATCTGAACCACCTCTGTCTAATTCATCTTTTCTTGTCTTCGCGGTATTTCTCCTTTGTTTTTCCAAAGAAAGGTAGGCCTAACAAGGGTACAGTGTGACCCAGCCCGCTCCAAGGTTTACCATGATCAACTGATGGAGAGTTAGAACACAAAATGAATTATTTGGGGAACTGGAGATGTAACATTTGGGGAACTGGAGATGTAACAAGTGCTGGTTCGTGAACTTTGTTTACATTCTATATCTAACCAATATCTAACATTGCACCAGGTGCGGTTTAACAACCAGGTCATCAGTTCTCCTGTTGCCATGTTTGTATTATATCCAAGAGATGGGGTATGTAACTACGCCACATGCTGTACATTTTTTCATAACTCAAAAGCACTGTTAACTTCTGGATCCGCCAGTGAAACCCGTCAAATGGCTATTGTTCCCTAATGGGGAAATTACAGTATGCTGATCGGCCGTTTTTCGACCCATGATTTTAGACATCAGTGTAATACTGTATATTGCGATCTCTAAAATTGGTGGGAAAATTGGTGCCGAGTCTTGCTCCAAGACCCTGGACTATCTACTTTAATAACTATGTTGTTTAGATAGAGAGCCAGGTCTACAGTCTTGAAGCAAGACTATTGGGCAATATAATACTGTTGTGAAAATACATTTGATTTTCTCTGTAGTTATTCAGTTTAGCCACATATTCCTGAGTATTAATTGTTTCACTTAGAAAGTGTTGCTGGTGGTTATGAAGTAGTTTATTGTGGGCCCTCAACACAATACTGAATATAATAGCCATGAATATTGATGATTTTTAGAGGCGACTTGATATTTCGTCGTCTATATAACTGCAAAATGTCCGATACCTCTTAATCATTGATAGGTAAATGTATTTACAAACAGTTTTCGACTCATACCTCCTAATCATCGATTGCTGTATTTGTAACCAGTTGTTGACTTATACCTCTTAATCATTGATTGCTGAAAGTATTTGTACCAAGCTATTTGCCTATACCTCTTAATCATTGATTACTAAATGTATTTGTAACAAGCTATTGACCTAATCCTCTTAATCATTGATTGCTGAAAGCATTTGTAACATGCTATTGGCCTAAACCTGTTAATCATTGATTGCTGAAAGTATTTGTAACCAGATATTGATCCATACCTCTTAATCATTGATTGCTGAAAGTATTTGTAACAAGCTATTGACCTATACCTCTTAATCATTGATTGCTGAAAGCATTTGTAACATGCTATTGGCCTAAACCTCTTAATCATTGATTGCTGAAAGTATTTGTAACAAGCTATTGGCCTATACCTCTTAATCATTGATTGCTAAATGTATTTGTAACAAGCTTTTGGTCTATACCTCTTAATCATTGATTGCTGGAAGTATTTGTAACAAGCTATTGACCTATACCTCTTAATCATTGATTACTAAATGTATTTGGAACAAGCTATTGACCTATACCTCTTAATCATTGATTGCTGAAAGCATTTGTAACAAGCTTTTGGTGTTTACCTCTTAATCATTGGTTACTAAATGTATTTGTAACAAGTTATTCACTCAAACATGTACCTCTTAATCATTGATTGCTGAAAGTATTTGTAACAAGCTATTGGCCTATACCTCTTAATCATTGATTGCTAAATGTATTTGTAACAAGCTTTTGGTCTATACCTCTTAATCATTGGTTGCTGGAAGTATTTGTAACAAGCTATTGACCTATACCTCTTAATCATTGATTGCTGGAAGTATTTGTAACAATCTATTGACCTATACCTCTTAATCATTGATTGCTAAATGTATTTGGAACAAGCTATTGACCTAATCCTCTTAATCATTGATTGCTGAAAGTATTTGTCACAAGCTATTGACCTATACCTCTTAATCATTGATTGCTGGAAGTATTTGTAACAATCTATTGACCTATACCTCTTAATCATTGATTGCTAAATGCATTTGTAACAAGGTATCGACTCATACCTCCTACATTGATTGTTAAAATTTGTTATTGACCAAAAACTCGTAATCATTGATTGATGAATGCATTTACAACCAGCTATTGACCAATACCTCTTAATCATTCATAGGTAAATGTATTTATAAACATTTATAGACTCATATCTCCTAATCATTGATTGCTAAATGTATTTGTAACAAGTTATTGACTCATACATGTACCTCTTGCTGAAAGTATTTGTAACCAGATATTGATCCATACCTCTTAATCATTGATTGCTAAATGTATTTGTAACACGTCATTGGTCCATACCTTCCAATCATTGATTGCTGAAAGTATTTGTAACCAGTTATTTTGCCAAACCTCTCAATTATTGCTTGCTAAATGTATTTGAAACCAATTGTTGACCCATACCTTTCAATCATTGATTGCTAAATGTATTTGTAACCAATTGTTGACCCATACCGTTCTATCATTGATTGCAAAATGTATTTGTAACCAATTGTTGACTCATACCTTTCAATCATTGATTGATAAATGTATAAGTAATCAGTTGTTGACCAATACATTTCAATCGTTGATTGCAAAATGTAATTGTAACCAATTGTTGACCCATACCTTTCAATCATTGATTGCAAAATATATTTGTAACCAATTGTTGACCCATACCTTTCAATCATTGATTACTTAATGTATTTGTAACTAGTTGTTGACCCATACCTTTCAATTATTGATTGCAAAATGTATTTGTAATCAATTGTTGACCCATACCTTTCAATCATTGATTTACAAAATGTATTTGTAACCAATTGTTGACCCATACCTTTCAATCATTGATTGCTAGATGTATTTGTAACGAATTGTTGACCCATACCTTTCAATCATTGATTGCTAAATGTATTTGAAACCAATTGTTGACCCATACCTTTCAATCATTGATTGATAAATGTATTTGTAACCAATTGTTGACCCATACCTTTCAATCATTGATTGCAAAATGTAATTGTAACCAATTGTTGACCCATACCTTTTAATTATTGATTGCTGAATGTATTTGCAACCAGCTATTGACCCGTTGACATGCGCATTAAGTGATTGATTACTGGATGTAAGAATCTCATATCTGATTTCAACTTTTTTCTCATAGGAATATAATTTTGTTTTGTACCGATGTCACGCTGACAATATTATCATACAAGGGCCCTCTGCGGCAGTACATGTAAATCTTATGAAGAAGTTCTGATCAATACAAGGCGGCACTTCAAGAAGTCGTTTAACATATTAATATACGATTAACATACAAGTTAAGTAAGGTACAATATGAGCCTGGCCGGACTTATCACAAAAATTAAAATTGTGCTACAGAGCAAAAACGTGCTCAAGATTAAGAGGAAAATGTGCTAAATTCAAATCTGTCTTTTGGTCTATATCTGCAAGAAAAAAATGGTAAGACATAAGCCATGTATCATTTGAAAGGTCTCTTTGTGCTTTTTAAGATAAACAAAAAATCAAAATATTGAAAAAATCTGTGATAAGACCCCTTTTCCTGTGGCCTGGCTCATATAGTGTTTTTTAGAATTGTAACGTGTACAATAAATGAAGAGTTGTAAATATGAATATGGCATCACATTCCTCATCTTAGAGTGTCAGCCAGTTGTTCATGTTAAGAAGATTCACACTACTACATGTACATCCCTTTATATCTTCCACATGGTCTAAGCCTCTTACATTCAGGTGCTTAACTTGAACTTTACAAACATATGCATAGAGACAGATGGGAAAAACAAATCAATCGATAACTCTGCAAATGTGTTTTTAGCAGTCAATAGTTTGAGAAGTACAATTACCATCTTATTAAAGAATATATAACGAACTAGTTTTGGATGAGACAATTAAATGTACGGTATGGTCATTTGACACAATTTGGGCAAAGAAATTTAAATTTTACCAATTTCAGCGACAATTACTGTCTACCCGAAATCATTAATTTTTAATTAAGCGTTTCACCCACAACATTCCGTTTCTTCATCTAACGTGTATGATGGTAAGATGACTATGTCTTCGCCCCATATTATTTCACAAGTATATTACAAGTTCTGTTTCAATAGTACAGTTCGAAAACGATGAAGAGTATCTTTACATGTATCTTACACATCATTTTCCAGATCTTTTTGTATGATATTCAAATAAAAATAATCGAAAGGTGTTGACTAAATAAGCCGATAAGGCTTATCAAAAGCTGACACATGTACAAGGATTACCTACATGTATGTATCAGTAATACGTATATCATACTTATATATGGGTAATACGTCTGTGTGAGGTAAGGTAATATGCAGCTAGTGTTCCTTGTGGAATACCAGGTCTATGAGCAAGAGTACATCAGCAGAAAGGTAGCAACGCAAAACCATATTGCTAATAATATCGGGGCTGTTTCTGAATAGATTAGCTCTTGCCATATGTTTATCTGCTGTGTAATACTGCGATGTGCTCAAAGGGGAAATCTAATGAAGCCTAATGAGCTGATATCTGTGTTCTTTTTCTCAATAATTCTTCTAGCATAGAATATTAATTCCTATTGATCGGTTGTATGAAAAATGTAACCACATGGGAGATAGGTTGACGTTTACGCAATTTACATTGTTAAGATGAAATGCGCTCAGCCAAGACACCTTACCGCCTTAATCTCAAGGGAGGTTTATCGAGGTGTTTACATGGAAGAAGGTAAAATACACATTCTATATTAAGTTCAAGATGGAGATATCTTAACTCAGTGTAAATATTTACAGTTAAACATGTTTTCTAACTTACCCGTGCTGCTCTAGATGTTTGGGGCTTCTCAAGAAGGTCCCAAATTTGACTGCGCCATTTCGCAAAATAGCCATCTCCAAAGTTCTCCTCCTCACGCTCCCTGAGACTCTCTGCCTCCTTGCGCATCTCTTCATAAACATGCTCCTTTTTGGTGTGGTACTTGTGTTGACAGCATGACTCTAGGTACAGCTCGTCTATGCCCCAGTAGTCCAGGTCGTCACTGAATGACAACACACACATATCCTCAATCAGGTGGAGTTTACCTGTACGGTAAAAGTTCAACACCGAAGCAAACGAGCGGGGGTGGCGATCAAAGAAATATTCATTGTCCACAAGGTTATAATCGTCACATAGCTCCATAATTGACTCGTGAGAGTTACATTCACGCAACATACCCAGTCGAGTATGAGGCATTACATCCAATGTTCTCCACATCACCTCGTGCTTCACGCCCCCGACATTCAGTATCACCCTTTTGTTACATTGTCTGTTCCGTACGATGGTTTGAGGGTCCGGGATCGTCGACTGCATCTTGTGCGATGGGGGAGGCATTTGTTTATTGGTATGCTGTAAATTGCCAGCCTCGTCGGCACTTCCCATATTACCCGATGCTAATACATCGCTGCCTGTAGAACAACTGCCTATTTTTACTTCTGGTTTATTGGCTTCTCGTTCTCGCAGTCTTTTATTAATTGCAGCTCGCTCACTGCCAATTTCTCCGGGGGCCGTGTCATGGCGTCTAAAGTGGCGGGGGTGGCTTGTATGACCCAGGGTGGCACTTGTGATGGGGGTGCCGTCTCGACCTTGGCCTGAGCTTGAATACACAAACATAACGATCTAGGTGTAGAGGTTGATAAACTGGTACACACAGCTTGCGGAACAGGGGGTGTGATCACTTGGCCATGCACCACACCTTGACATGCACAAAGTGACCGCGGACTCGCAAAATAACCAGGCTTTGTGATGTTAACTGTACCTAGAGAGGGAAAGGACAACACGTTAAGAAAATAAATAATAATAACAAGAATTAACATAAAAAATAACGTGGACAATTCAAACTAGTAGTGACAATTTGTGATTTCCAACACAACAGTATTATTGATCCTGGGTGTTAGTGAAACACGCAGTTGTTAGCACACTAGTACATTAAAAGCTGGTATGGAACAATGCTTGTGTTAGGGATGCTGATCGATACGTTTTCGCAATTTTATTGAAAATAGCGTACGCGATTATAAGCCAGGAAAATGAATTTTGGTTATGTTTACAACAAGGAGAAACAATGAGTTGCCACAGCCCCTGCTAAAATGGATAACTAATTGATGAGAAATGTTGAACATATTAAAAGAACTACTTGTAATAAGAGCCATTTACTCTCATTTTCATAACTAAACTTAACTCATAAAATGTTACTCTTTGGTATTTGTTGTGAATATATTATAGATTTATGCGACCTACGATTTCTGAGATATCAGTCATTAACTGCACTCGTTCCAGTGAACAATAACATCACGACATTTTATAATAATTACTTCCCCTCCTACAAATCAAATTATTATTTTATTTAACATTGTCAGAATATTATGTTAATGGGCACAATGTACACGTATAACGGATATTTGACTAAAATTATTGACTAATAATTAACTGGTTAACTGTTTTTCTACAAAAATATTCCTCTAGCCAGTTATAAAAATCATGTATTCATATAATGCTTATGCCGCTTGTCGGATTTTTTTCAGATTTTTGAGGAAATATATAATTACTGGCTTCAAAAACGTAAGGATAGAAAACATAATAGGGGGAAAGATAAGAATCCGTTTTTTTATTTCGGTGTACTATGTTTTGTCACCTTTGAATTGCTAGGGCAACACAGGCCAATTACATCGAAAAACTATATTGAAAATAATAATGCAAGCTATTCTTCGTGAAACTCATTCGTTTCCTTTCTCATTCAATGGCATTCAGATACAAAGAGTATAACATAATACCATATAGATATTAGTTGAAGTAATAACATAATTCAGGTCATTGTTGCTCAATTTTATATTAGATCTTGGAGTTGAAGAAACCATTTTCGAAATTCCTTCAATATTCTTTACGCACGAAATGCTGGATGAAAATCAATTACGGTTGAATAATTGAATAAAATGTTAAATATCTTTTGGGGTGATTTTTGACACGTGACCTATAAACCTTCTCTAGCGAAAGTCTTCAGTCCTTAAATTATGTAATCTCTGATTTCAACAAATAACGATTCTGTGTATATGGTGGACATTGCGATGGACATTGCGATGGACATTGCGACCACGTTTTAAGGGAAAATATTGAATGAATTTTTTTATTTCAACACTAGGTGATCTAAAATCACTTATGTGACTTTTACTATAAAATGTCTTAAATATGACTGTAATGGTAGTCTTGCAAATTGTAAATTAAAGTCATGGTATACTAGCTTAAAGTAATTAATAGTAAACAATATGTTATTCAAATGATATATATTATATATGGGAGTACTCATCATAAGTTGAAGAAATATACCATTTGTTTTGTATAAAAGGTTTCCAGAAGGCATGCTGTCTTAAAAGAGTTTTGAATGACGTGTCGCAAAAAGGTCGCGCACGCATTGTTACACATTTTCGCTTTTTAACACCACAGAATGTGACGTTTTTTGAGAAAAATGTACACATATGGAAATCCTTTCGTCCTCCACATTTGCCTGTATATCTCAAAATATTAAGGCGAATAACTCTGATATCGTATATGTATTAACAATGGGATAGGAGCATCATAAAACACGAATCAATTGATATTTTAGGTGAAATAAATATACGTGTTGCTGTGCTTGAAAATAGGCGAATGGCGTAAATTAGCCCTGTTTTAATGAATTTTGAAAACCTTTCGTCCTCCACTTTTCCACATACAACAGAAAACACATATTTTTGCGAACAAAATCAACTATTTATTAATAAACTAGAGTTTAAGAGCAAAATAATCATGGATGATTTTTTAAAAATTGATAAATCGCAAGAATCGTGAACGGAGTGTAGTTGATCTAAAAACTTCATCGAAACAGCATTAAAATGATATATAACTTCAATTAGAATATTATCTTATAATCCGGGGAATCAAAGTTACATTCACGCGATACCCTTAAAAAACAAATGCGCCACCTTTTTGCGACACGTCAATGGTTTTTGGCACTGCCATATTTATGATTTTGTTTGAATACTATATCTAGTAGTTGGTTGGAAATTTATCAGATGCATATGGCCTAAAATTAGTATCACAAACAATTACATATCCATATCCATTAAAAGATTGTCGAGACATAACACAGTACCACGTCTAATCCAAACGCCATTTGGGACAGCGCTAATGTGTTTAGATTAACAGGTGTTCACATTTCAAGGTTTTTGGAATGTGCGTGGTAAAGGAGTGGTATCAATATGGTGAACTTTTTGAGCACGCGTTTCTCTTAAACCGGTCATCAAAACATTCTGAAAATTTTACACATCGTCGATTTAATGGTCATCTTTTGGATGGAAACATTATTTAATTTGAAATACTCGTATATTCATATACTTTTCTCTATATTGTTTCAGAAAACACACACTTCTTTTGTTCTTGGTATCAAATGTTCGGAATGAAATGAAACATCTATCCGAACCTCATTGGAACAAAACGACATAAACACAACGTGTTTAGGTCTCTCAATATTGTAATTGTACAAAGGAAAGTTTGGTTGATTTTAAAAAGTATCTTGTTAATGAAATAAAAGGTTGGACTTAATTTTTTGGTTTTTTTTGCATACTTTTTATAAAATCAACCCAAAATTCCTTTGTATAACTATAATATTGAGAGGTCTAAGAAAATGAAAATGTTGTATATGCTATTTTGGTCCAACAAGGTTTGGAAAGACATTTTAGTTCATTCTCAAGAACTGGTAGAAAGGAACAAAAAGTAATTGCACTAAAAACAAAAAATATTTACAAAAACAGTTACATGAAATATATATAAATAATTTTTGCATTAAATTGTTGCCAATCGGTCAACATTACATAAAGGGCAGTGTTTTTTACAGAATGATTACAATAATTGGTTTAAGAGAAAAACATTGTTGAATTCAGTTCACCATATCGATACCTATCCTTTGGAACCAAGAAAAAACTGTTCACATAAACTGTATATTGAAACGGTTATACCTCACGAAATGAGATAACGGGATAGTTTCATTAGAAGTCTAGTTAAGTTATTTTGGATTTAAGTCGCTTTATGTAACAATTGCGCCGTTCGTTAATATAAAGCACAATGAAGACAATCTTGGACCTCCAAGGTGTTTTCAATGAAAGCAGACGAGAAAGTGATTATGAACCAAGACAGCGTTGGGTATAAAAAATTGTAGTAATTGTCCTAAAAGGTCTATCCTCTGATGAACTTTAATTAAAGTTATCAGTAATGTGCAGATACAATAATTTGCTAGATGGATTATTCCCTTGGTATCCAGAAGGCATCGAAAATAAGAAGCATAATTCTGATGGTTGTCGTCGACTATAGGCCTATATAGGGTTTATGAGCAAATTCGAAAAGGCGAAACTTGGCTAAGCTTAAACTGACATCTATTTCAGTTTGATAGCTTCAAATCTAAGAGGAATGTCATTTTAGATATGATATTGGAAATACGTATTTAGTTCTCCATTTGGATGACACTTGGAGAACTTCAGAATGGTTGCCACTTTTATCGCAAGAATGACGCTTTTGTACTTTTAGTCGATCCCGTGACTAGCATCTATGTTGTCAGGAGGGAATTATTCATATAATTTCTGAAATAACAATGAGACTTGGGTTAAAAGAGAAAAAGAAGTAAATAATAAGAGACCTTGGCGCCAGACTGTAATCAGGAATGTCTAGAAGTCTTGACGAAGAATCCAACAAATGTTCAAAATGATCGTCCCACTTTAAGGAGTAAATTAATCAACTTTTAAAAGTCAAGGTGACGTTTCTGAGGTATACCGGTAGTTAGTATGTTTGTCTATCCGTCTCTGTACACGTGTAAATACTGGTGAACGGATTTTATTGACCAAAAGTTTTTTTGTTCGTTCATAACTCGAAAACTAGCAAATCGATTTTGTTCATTTTGTATAATGTTAATATTTTAACTAAAATGACGACCAATTTCTTTTTATGTCCCCACCACATAGTGTGGGGCCATGTTGTCGGCCTATGCGCGTCTATCCGTCTGTCTGTCTGTCCGTCTGTATGTCCGACAGTTTTCTCCCAAACCGCTACAGATATCACCTTCAAATTTTCAGAGTTAGCTTTTGACTACATAGAAAAAATTGACTCAATACCTACTTCCTGTCGGCCATTTTGAAGCCAAATGCTAAAATCCGTGTCTGCAAACTTTGAGGAAAATGGCTTCACAGTGTGAATGTCAGCGAGAGATAATACTTTGTATCATATTAATATGTGTTTTTTCAATTCTCATAATTAAACTATTTATAATTTTAGGTGACCTGTATTGTAAAAACCCATCTCATAGTCTGGAACTAGATTCCTAGAACTGATTAGTTTTTCGGCAAATGTAAAGGCAGCCATTTTGGATTCTCCGTCCTAAAATCTTGTCTGTAAAGTCTTGCAATTGTCTACCCATTTTCAGGATAACCATTTGACTTCAATCTATTTCAAATTTTCAGGGATGATTTTTAGTATGAAGATCTAGAACTGAAAGTTTTTCGGCATTCTAGGTTGAATTTAAGGTGGCCATCTTGGATTTTCCGTTCTAAAATCTCGTCTGTGAGGTATTGTATGCTCATTCTCAGGATAGCCATTTGACGGATCGATTTCAAATTTTCAGGAATGATTCTGAATATGAAAATCTAGAATTGATTAGTTTTTCGGCATTCTGGGTAAATGTAAAGGCAGCCATTTTGGATTTTCCGTCCTAAAATATTGTCTGTAAAGTCTTGTCTACCCATT